TCAGTTGGCTTAGAGGAGAGAGAGAGAGAGAGAGAGAGAGAGAGAGAGAGAGAGAGAGAGTAGTGATTGAGCTGACCCTGCTTTCATAACTCTCTGGTTCTTCCTAGAAAGTGTGCATTACTCTGCTCATCACTCTGCCTGTGAATGATCTAGAAAAGCTGTCCACACGTTTCTATATCAAAAATAAAATAGCCCAACTGAGGTCAATTTGGCCATTGCTATGATTCAGACTTCAGGCCTTCCTTTATTCTTCAGTCTTTCTTCTGGCTCAGCTTGACCCATGCCTTATAAACTTAAAACTGTTATGACTATTGGGTCACAGTTCACTAGTTTTCCTTTCTAATATGCCTAAATCCATTAGAACCAGACTTGCTCTATCAGCATTCTTCTACGGGTCTCACTGTCTATATGTATAAAGATTTATATATAAAAAACTACTTTCATGTTCATTATTTCACTTCATTTGGATTACTATTTTGCTGTTTTACAGGTCATAAAACCAAGGAACTGAGATGTGAAGTACAAGTCAAGGAACACAGGGAAAGCTTGATATATTCATAACTGTCTCCCAAAGACTCTTTGGTAGAATACTTTTTCTCAGAGATTAGAAAGAAGCTATCTAAAGATGCCATTGAAGGGATAGAGAGAGATATATGGGATTAATGTCTCTGGGAAGTTCTGACTTCTATATCATTGAATAAGCAGGGCTATAATTCCATCCATATGGAGATTTAGAGTAGAGAACTCCAAGAATCCAATAAGAGAGAGGTAACATAAAGATGATCTAGTGATTTTAATCAAATAGACTCCATAACTTACCTAAGCACACAACTAAAATATTGGTGAGAAGCTGGCTATATTTGTCATATGCAATCTAGAATCTGACTCAGATCCACAGATATCTGAACCTTATTCACTCTTCACCTATTCCACAATTCCTATTTCTGGAGATACAGCAGGCCTTATTTACCAGTCTGAAGGCTTATTTTGCTTTATCTTTTTGCTCCCAATGCACCCATCATTTCAAACAGTACATGTTGCTTCAAGTAAACAATTAGGAAAAGTGGAAAATTCTGATATGCAGATTCTAAATAGTCATGAGATGAGCCCTCTGAATCATAAATTAAAGGTCTTGCCTGAATTTTGTGGTCTCTGCTGTATTTTTCATTTTTAATTTATTAAATGCCATTCACTTAGTACTGAATAGCACTTAAAACTGACCCATTGACAAATCCCAGCCCACTGAAATTAAACATTTTATTTTTTGGTATTTCCAGGTTCCTGTGGTGTTTGGGCAACCTGTGGACCTGGTCAAGGTAGAAGAAGCTTAATATAAACACTTCAGTACATATATCACATTTTTTTTTGCTACAAGAAGCCTCTTAGCCTCAGATTTAAGTTCCAATTTACTAATAAAGACTTTAAAGCTCAAGAAATGAAAATGATTAGAATCATGTTTATGATTGTTTGCGATAAGGTTAATCTTAAACTCTTTATAGCTAACTTTTCTTTCTTCTCTGAATCTTGACTAGGACTGATCAAGTAATACAGGAATTATATACCTTATAATGTCAATCAAAAATTGGTACTATGATGTCATTTCATAAGCAGTAATATATCACACATATGCAGAACATTTTATGTGTTTTATGTGTTTTTTAACATTCATTTATTTTTCAATAAACTGTGAGGTAAAAAAGGCATATAGTCAACATTCCCTGCAAGTGTTAAATAAAAAGTCATCTGAGGATATACAATTGTTTAGTATTAAATTTGAATGCAGAATTTTAAATTCTCGCATCTAACCCCATAATTTCTGGAAAGTAGATTGAACCAGTAGGGGAAAAATCTAAGTTTTTGAGTTTGATGAATTTTGGATTAAAATTCTAGTGTAAATTCAAAACTCATGCTATGAGTCTTTGGAAATTTCCCTCTTTGAGCCTTAGTTTTCACATATGTAAAATCTGGCTTGCAAAAACTTTCATGTGTTTATGTAAATTTGAGATAATACCATACAGTGGTACCTCAATTCAAGAATGCTTTTGTTTCCAAACAATTTGATTCTCAAACAGAAATATTGGGCAAAATTTTGTTTTTCTTGGCAAGCTCAACATCAAGTGACAAACACGACCATGACCATCTTTCCCATACAGACACAAAGGTGGCAATCTTTTCCAAAATGGTAGAACAAATTAAGTTCGTCAACTGAGATGCCACTGTATATGTAAAGTTCCTAGCATTGAATAGACACCAGCCATAGAAAACATTAATAATAGCATATTTCTTCAGGTGCTGCAAGGTGCTGCCAAACTAGCTGCAGTTTCCATCTGGGGATCATGTTGTAGAAAACGTGATTTTATTCAAGTATCTTAGTGTGGAGCAAGTATCTTAAACTAAGTTTGTTAGCATATTACTTGCCCTAATATTTTCCACTTGCAATGGCAATATCACTTTTAATAATTATTATAAGCTAGACTGTGAGCTATATAAAGATAGCTATTATATTATTTCATTTTTGAATTCCCAGGGCCTAACATCTTTCTTTATATATTCATATAAGTGCTCAATAATTCTTTCTTGAATTTATAACATCTGCCAATGGCAGCCACAGTTAGAACTAGATATTAGAAGAGATGGTTTTGCTGTTCTCCATTCTTTATGCTGTACATATCTCTCTTTTATTCTTCCCTAATGTGTCTTAAAAACTGAGCCCTGCTCTAGTGCAACTCTGTAAGCCTTCATAGTAAAGATTCATGAATTATCCAGATAGAAATACAGACAAAAAATAGTGGCAGTGGGACCAATCAGGAGGCAAATGTCTCAGCCCTGAACTTGCTTGAGTGACCTCAGCAAATTATGAGGAAGAAGACTTGGCTACCTTTAAAAATGTGTTTTTTCTGATGAAATGGCAATTTAGTGTGTGGCAGCTTTCCCTTTTTGAAGAGTTTATTAGTCCAGGCCCTAGGTCAAGGACTAATACCATATAGTTGTACCTCAGACAAGAAAAGAATACTCTTACTGGAAAGAAAATAAATGAAAATAATACAGGTAAGACCTATTTAAATATATGCTATTTTTCAAAAACCTTTAAATAAAACTTTATACCTCATGCACAATTAGGCCAAAAACTTGGGCAGTGGGGGTGTCTCCGGGAGATGTGAGAAGATGACATAGAAGTGGGTGGGATTCGCTATCAATTCAAGCAGCAGCATCAGCAGTAGCAGCAGCAGCAAGGATCCTAAACCTTACTGCTAGTGGTCTTCCTTCTCATCTGCTGACATTCTTTACTCCTGACTCTCAGATATACAGAGGGTGATAGAGCTTTGGAGCTGTACCAGTTGCTGGCTATGTAACCTCAGGCAAATTAAACAATTTAAGCTTCATGCTTTTATAAGTGCAGCCAAT